GCCAGGGAGGCCCTAAAGGCTCTTAAAACAATAAAGGCCATTGCCATTGCTGTTGGCTGCATTCCAGAACTGGATGGTAAGACCCTACTGCTGAAGATGTCACATGCTCTGGTTACAGGACTTGGAGAAATAAGGCTCTAAGTGCCCCTTCCCGGTGGTCTAGCTCTTGAACTACTGGAAGGCACTACTAAGGTTGCTGGGGAGAATTGAGGCCCAAAGTTCTATTCAGCAGTAGATTCTGCATGTGTCATGACGAAGTGCCAGGCAGACTGTGCCAGCGAGTGCAGCAATGGTACAAATGCTTATGGACAGAACCAACTTTCTTACTGGAATTATGCCATGCTTCACAAGGGGAAATTCACATCTGGTCCTGGGAACTTAGATACAACCTATGACCAGGAAATTCATAGTCCGAGAGGAAAAAGGACTGCTATTATTTGATAAATAAATATGATATACCAGCTAAGATGCTTCTCAATGTTTACAACCACAGATTGTCACTGTCAGTATTTATTTGGATATTTCTGTTTCTGGATTTTTGCCTTTTCCTCATCTGTGTTTTATAGTAAAAAAAGAACACCACCCACCTCCACTAGCCACCTGTGAAAACAAAAAATACTAAGACAAAAGGTTCAGTACACCAGAGTTAGAGGATCGTAGTCTTCTATGTCACCCCCTCCAAGCTCAGCAACTACTGCAGAAGAGGAGGTGAAAAGCATGGAAGAGCCAAGGAACCCGGAGTGTTGTGCAGCAATTCCTCTGGGATAAAACCCTCCACCTTACAAGTTCTTTGCCACAATATGTTATAAAGTAAGATGAACAACAGGATGTTCTAAAAGGAAATAAACAACTCAATAGCTTCAAGAAGTGCCTGAAATTGACCAGGATCATTAGTCCCTCCCTCCCCAAGCTCTAAGGACTGCTAGAGACCTCTCAGACCAGCTGAACTACCTGAAACGGCCTCTCTCCAACCTGCTGAGCTGCCTGCTGGTTATGCAGTGGGCTCAGGGTTTCCTGCTTCTGTAAATTATCACCCCAGCTGGGGGGAAGGGGAGGCTTTTGATGATGTAGCTGTCTTTGACTCATTTCTGCTAATGTAAGTAACCCCAATAAACTCACTGGTCTACCAAGCTGGACTTTGATGGTATCTGTACTTTTGTCTATCTGTAATGAGTAGACGTTTGTTCATGTCTCCCCAGGAAAAGTGTCACACAAGAATGATCCCCCAAAACATTAACAAAAACCCATTCTAATTCACTTTATACAGAATGCTTGTTCTAGCTAGCCCTCTACTCTGAGAAACACTGACCCAAAGCAACTTGGAGGAAAGGGTTTATTTGGCTCACATTTCCACATCACAGTCCACCATCAATGAAAGTCAGGGCAGGAACTGAGGCAGAGACCATGCAGGAGCGCTGCTTACCAGTAGGCTTGCTCAGTTACCCTCCTAATACTGCCCCAGCCCATCTTCCCAGGCACTGCCCACATTTGACTGGGCCCTCCTGGATTAATTACCAATTTTAAAAATGCCTTACACACATGGTTACAGGCCAATTCAATGGAAGAAATTCCTTAAATGAGGGTCCCTCTTCCCAGGTGTCTCCAGGTTGTGTCAGGCTGACAAACTAGATGTTTTCAGTTCCCACAACCTCCTGTCAGCAGATGTGGATCTGTCAGTGACTTCCTGGACATCAGCCTGCACTACTTTCACAGTCTTTATCTTTTATATTTTCTTTATTATTTTTTATGTGTATGAGTGTATTGACTGCATGTTTGTTTAAGTATACCCATGTGGTGCAATGCCTGCAGAAGAGGGCATTGGATCCCCTGGAACTTAAGTTACAGATGGTTGTTGGCTACCAAGTGGGTGCTAGGACTCGAACTTGGATCCTCTGCAAGAGCAGATGGCACTCTTCCGACCCCTGAGCCATCTCTCCAGCCCCCCAGGTGTTTCTTAATTCACAGGCTGACAATCAAGATCAATCACATAGCTTCAGAGCACCTAGCATAGACTTAAACACTCAGTGTCAGCCCACATGATTATTTTTGCTGAATTCTCATATGGTGGCCAGAGTGATCATTTTTTTTAAAGCACCCATCCCTGGGAATTATTGAGGATACCCAGCAAGGCAGAGCTTATGGTCTAGGTGTTAGATTTAGGAGCAGAAAAAGGAGTTTAGAGTTTAGAAATAAGAGCCAGAGCCAGACCTGCAACAGGCAAGGAATATGTTCCTTTATTAGAAGTCAAGGTGAGGGGCAGAAGCCATCCTTGGAAACAGGCATCTGCAACCAAGGGACAGGACCTTGAGCTTTTATATGAAAGCCACCAGATAGCCACAGGAGTTAATTCTGTGCCAGGGTCTGGTGTCCATGGGGGTGATAGTGGGCCTTCCTCCTAAGATTATTTTCTTAGGCCAGGCAGGTGAGTTATCTATGGTGCTAAAGGAGACAGGGTAGTTCCATCAACAGTCTTCTTTAGTCCAGGAGTAACCGGTTGTAAGGCTTGAGCAAGGCCAGGAGGCCAACTTTAAGGAATTTGACTTCATGGGTTCCTTTGATGAAGCTTATGGCTCTCCTGCAAGTTCACACATTCTGTCACTAGGAGTCTAGCCCCTTCTTACCCGGCAGTGGGAGGCGTCTTTCCATGCAGCTTGCTCCCTCCACAACCACCACCTACATCTGAGCACACAGAACTGACCAAACTCCTCTGAAATGTGAACTTCCCACAGAAGGAACTGTCCTACAGACCACAAGCAGCAGCTTTAGCACCTAGAACAGACTGGGGCACAAGTGGTCCCTGGTATGTTTGTACCCTAGCCTGCATCTGGCTGAGCACTCAGTTTGTGCTCTCTTCGGCTCTTTTGATCTAGGCCACCCTCTGCCCCTCAGATGTCACTGAGCGCCCACTGATCTGACACTGGTGTGCTTCTCTAAAACTTGGCAAAAATAAAGACCTGAGCCCCCTGGCTCAGCCTGCATCTTCATCTCTTGTTTTAGCTATTCTGAAATTCTCTTGGTGCCTGGCAAGTCAAGCTTCCCCACTGCTAGACTCTTCCACATGCTGCTCCCTTGGCCTGAAAATACCTTCCCTGGCCTTGGTCTGGCTAACCCTTTACATCTATAGGTCTTTGCTGCAAGTTCCCTGAGGGTGGGAGTTATTGACAGCTATCTCATTTCCAGTATTACCAGGACCTACCTGAACAAGTTACCTGCTGAGAACAGAGAGCTGTCTCCAGGCCTGTTCTCCCTGTCCCCTGGCTCTCTGCTCCTCAATCCTGCTGTGGCCCCAACCGGAAGACTCCACCCACGCTAGCCTGTTTCTCTGCCAGCCCCAGGGAATTAGCCAGGACTTCATTCATGGTCCCTGAGTCCTGACCCAAGTGTCCAGGCTGCCCACTTCAACTATGCCAGATCAGGACCTAGCACCTCAGCCGGAGGAAGTGGAGGAAGCACTGCTATGGACCCACTGTTAAACAAACACAGTGACAGAAATAACAGGGTCACTCATTCAGACATGCGTATGGACAGCACCCTCTGTCCCCCTTCATCTGAACTTTGTATACAACTGCAATCAACTCTGCTATTTCTCAATAAGGGCACTGCACAAAGCAGGGAGAGGGTAACTAGAGCTCGGGCACTGGGGGTTCGTACAGCACCTCTTGTTCACACTCAGCTCCTTGCCAGCCAAACTGTGTCCTCCCAACTGTGGCCTGACCCATGTATTAGTAAGTGATAAAGCAAATTTAGTGTTTCACCATAGTTTTAAAAAATAAAATAATCGGCCGGGCGTGGAAGCGCACGCCTTTAATCCCAGCACTCGGGAGGCAGAGGCAGGTGGATTCCTGTGAGTTCAAAGCCAGCCTGGTCTACATAGTGAGTTCCAGGACAGCTGGGGCTACAGGGAGACCCTGTCTCAAAAAAAGACCAAAAAATAAAATAAAATAAAATAAAATAAAAATAAAATAATCACCCGAGAACAATGGCATTTCAGAGTTCCCTTTTTTAAAGTTTTTGAAGACCCTTTTTAAAAATCAGTTGATACATAAGCTTTAGATCACAATGGAACACGAATTTCTAAGTGATCAGGCCAAACATCTTTTTGAAAATTGTGACTTAGCCCTTTTAAAAATCTTCTGTCTTACAACAAAGACTTCTTCTCACTTGGCCTACTGCCAGAGGCCTTGTGAATCCCAAGCACTCACAAGGCTGCAGCAGGCAGACCTCAAGTTCAAGGAAAGCCAAGGATAACTGAAGAGAGACCCTCTTCCAAAATCAACAATGAAAAAAAAAGGTCGGAGGTTGTAGCTCGGAGGTAAAAGTATTTGCCTAGAAAGTATGAAACCCAGGCTTTGACCTCTAGCGACACACCCACACCCACACCCCCTTCTCCGAGACAGTTTTGCTGTGTAAGTTGTTCTTGGTTTAATTATAGCCACTGGAACTCTAGACATTCGGATGCTTAAAGAGTGATCCGGAGTTAGCCAGGAGGCCAACTACACAGGCCTCTCCGTAGCTCTGCAACCCGTGGGGCCTGACGGAGAGGGATATTATCTCAAGGCTTCAGAGCAGGGGTCAGGTTTTAGGTTCCTCCTTTGTGCCAAGCCGGGGGGGGGGGGGGGGCTTATGGTCGTCACCCACACCTGGTGTTGCTCAAAGGGGCCCGGGCCACAAGCCATTGGCATAAAGGATGCGCGGTCTACGGGATGCGAGGCCTAAGGGATTTAAGGGACGCGCGGCCTAAGGGATGCGAGACCTAAAGGATGCGCGGCCTAAGGGATGCCAGGCCTGGGCCCGGTGGACAGGGGTGGGGCGCTTTTGGGGTAGGGGGCGCGTCTGGTAATCTCAGTTCGCATTCTCTCCATCCACGCCGGGCAGAAAGAGACCGCCCCCGCGGGGGCCCGGGGCGGGGGAGGAGAGCCTCCCGGGAGGCCAGCTGTCGCTGGACAGCTGCAACCCAGGCTGCCGGGCTGCATACAGCGTTGCAGGGCGGCCTCTCTTACCCGAAAGTCATTGGCGGTGTCCTTCACGGGCTGCACGCGGTGCTCCTGGTGCCGGGGCTCGGGCTGGCAGGCACAGCACAACAGCTCCTTGTCCTCCAGGCAGAAGAGCGTGAGCGGCGCGCGGTGCGTGCGGCACAGGCGCGGGGAGCGGCGGTTCGGCCAGCGCGCGCCCTCCGCCTCCTCGCGCAGCAGCGTCTCCACCAGGTTGTTGAGCGTGTGGTTGGTGCGCAGGTCGCCGGGCGCCGAGCGGTCCTTGCACACCGGGCAGCTGGGCGTCGTCTGCACCTCCCAGCAGCCGTTCACGCAGCGGCGGCAGAAGTTGTGGCCGCAGCGCAGCGTCACCGCGTCGCGGAACGGGTCGTAGCACACGGCGCACAGCAGCTCCTCCTTGAAGGCGCGCGAAGGCCCCGGGGACCCCGCGGGGCTCGGCTCCATCTCCGCCGCTGCCGCCGCCGCCGCCGCCGCCGCTGCCGCCACCTTCATCGCGACCACTGGCCCCTGGGCGGCTCCCGGCTCCCCAGCGCTGAGTGACGGCGGCGCTGGCCAATCGCGAGGCGGCTGAGTCGGGACGCCCGGCCACTTCCGGTCTGTGTCTGTGCTGCGACTCCCGGAAGAGCTGTGGCCTCGCAGTCTCTGTCCGCTCCCAGGCTAACCGTTATCCCGGTGTGCGTGGAAGAATCTCCTTCCCAGCAGCACTAGGGACTTCCGTTTCAGTGCACGCCTACTTCCGTCGGGAAATGGGAAGTGAGGCCTGAGGGCGCCGTCCTTGAGCAATCCCTACTTCCTAGATCCCTGGGTGGGACCCGAACCTGGTTCCTTGAGTCCTACAACACCGGATATGGTTTCTCAAAGCCTTCCAGGCCAGAGGAAATAGAGAAAAAAGGGAATGAAAGATCCCTGACTGGTTGCAGTTCTTGGCTGTGGTTGGATACATCACAGTCCCTGGCATAAAATGGTGATTTTTGACTCCATGGAATGGAACCATGAAAGTGAAATGCATAGAGAAGAATGCTCGTGACACTGGGCACATCCCCATTAAAACTAGGATGAGCGGCCTGGTGACTGACGCATCCCTGTAATGCCAGCATTTAGGAGGCTGAGGCAGGAGGATCAGGAGTTCTGGGCCAACATGGGTGACACAGGGAAATCCTTAAAAATCCACTCTGAATTCTTGCCCAGGATGGCAGGCTGAATCCTTCCAAGCCCCCATTCCGCCTGAGTCTGATTATTTTGCAGCCTTCCTTTGTGGGATGCATCGCCGTTCCTGGTCTTTGCGGGAAGAATACTGCTGAGTGTCTGTTTCTGCACGCCTTGACAACAGAGGCTCCGACTCCCTTTTACGAGCCTTTTCTGAACATCCTTGAAATAATGTTTCCTTCCAGACCAGGATCTGGCCAACTTACTCCACATTGTCGAACATTCCAGTTTCCTAAACCTGGCCTTCTTCTGACTGGTGTCACACAAGAAACAGGCTCAGCAGGGATACAGAGACTTTGGTACTACTGTTAGTGATTAAAGGAGAAATCTTTGGTCCTGAATGTTTCTCACATGGTCACCTCTCCCAGGTGGCTTTCCTGAAAGGCTGAGTCTCCCACTCCACTCCACCTCCACTGGCCCCTCTGATGACTCAGTCCCAATCACAGGGGAAACCTATCTGCCAGAGATGACATAGCCTCAGCCCCAAACTCTTTAAGATGACATAGCCACTGCTCCAAATTCCTTCTTCCACCCTGAACGGGAGAAAATCAAAACACACCTGTGCCTATAAGGGAGGCTTCACTCTCCTCTGGATCCCTGGTGCCCACTCACCTCCTCTGGCCCCCAGGCCATGATGGGAGGAGGGGTTTGCCCTGTCAGGTTTATCCTCTAATAAATCTGCTTGGCGCTGTTGAGGCTGTTTTTCCGTCTTCCTATTTCCTTACAGTGATAACCTGTCTGTGTCTCTGACCCAGAAGTCACATGCGAGAAGGATAAAATCTCAGATCTTTACTTTTCTTACTCATTTCCTTCCACAGTCTTTCCTAGTCCTTTCCTCACATGGGATTTGCATCACTGAGTCTCACTGCCGGCAGGCAGTGTCTCCTGGAGTCCTTAGCTCTCTCCTCCGGTCGCCAGGGAGATGGTTTTTGTTTGTTCCTTTTCTGTTTTGCTTTGTTTTTTGGTGCTGGGGGTGGAACCCAGGAGCCTCAGGCATGTTAGGTGAGCGGTGAGCACTGCACTATCATTGAACTACATTCTCTAGCCCTTGATCCCCCCCCACACACACACACACAAAATCTCACTATGGAATTTGTGATCCTCCTGCTTCAACCTCTGAGATTACAGGCATTTGCTGCCTGGGGAACTTTCTAAATGTAGGTTCCTGGGCCCATTTTTACTTCTTCAGGGGAGGCACCCAGGGGTCTACACTTTCACATGTTCACCAGGTTGGATGGTTCTCAGAGTTTGAAAGCCATTGCAGTGTATTTACTTAACCTAAGCTGCTAAGATAAACCTTGGACACAGGACCTGAGAGAGCCACAAGATGGAGCTGATCAGCCTGTCATGCACCTCCCTGGAAAATCCTGTCCCCATTTACTTACAATTATTATGATTTTTTTAAAATTTTTTTTTTTTTTTTTTTTTTTTTTTTTTTTTTTTTTTAGTTTAATGTGCGTGTGCAGGTCAGAGGGAAATTTGTGGGAGTTGGTGCACTACTTCCACTATGTGGGTACTGGGATCGAACTCAGGTCCTCAGGCTTGGCAGCAAGTACCTTTACCTGCTGAGTCATCTTGCTTGCTGGCCCTCATTTTCTTTCACTGAGTTCTCTTGCCCATGTGTGCAAGTTGTGTGAATGATTTGCATTACTATGTACGTGTCTCATTTTTTCTTATCTGATTCTCTTTGTTTTGCCCTTCCCGGCATACTCTGAGGAGGGCCACACATCAAAACAATGAAGTGTAGAAATTAACAAGTGTGGGCCTGGGGAGATGGCTCAGTGGTTAAGAGCACTCTGCTCTTGCAGAGGAACTGGGTTTGAGTCCTAGAGGTCATATGGCGGCTAACAGCCGTTTGTAACTCCAGGGGATCCGACACCCTCTTCTGACCTCTTCAGGCATTGCAAGATATGAGTGCACTTACATGCATGCAAACAATACACTCATAAAACAAAAGAATTAAAATTTGTTTTTTAAAAGAAATTAACATGCATTGTCTTAACTGCAATACAAATGTGAACATTAAGCCCAAGACATTCTGCAGTCTTTTTTGCAGAATGAAAGGTTCTGCTTCAAGCTCTGGAAGTATCAGGGGCATGACCTAGGCATATTCTTGTACTTTTCTGACTTCCTGTTCTTTAACTATATAAGGGAAGGTAGAACTGATTGCTTCAAGTTCCTAACAGATCAGATATTCTGAATTGTCTTACTCTTTGCATAATTTCCACAAGACAGTGACTCACATTCATCTGGATTTCAAGAAAAATAAGTCTTGGTAACTCTGAAGCGACCTGTCACCAGCCTTTGCTATTGCTTTCATTAGAAATTTCCTGTTGCTATACCTGAGAACCACAGGCAAGATAATTTACAAGGAATAAAGAGGTTTATTTATCCCACAGTTCTGGAGACAGGGAAGTCAGTAGGGCACCAATCTTCTTGCTACGTCAGGATGAGACAGAGCACCATATGGCCAGACAGGTGTGCCAGCTCAGATCTCTCTTCCTCTTACAGAGTCACCCATGCCGTCATTGCAACTCTACCCTCATGACTTCTTCCCAAGTACCTCCTAAGAGCCTCGTCTCTAATAGCAACGTGAACTTGGGGATTAGATTTCCAAGGCTTTTGGATACACACTGAAATCCAGCAAAAAGGAACACGTGCCTGTATCCCTTCAATCCGCCCTCCTTTCCACCCTTCCTCCTGCCTTCTTTCCTCGTTTTCCTCCTTCTCTTCTTTTTTAGAAAAATGTTTATTTTATTCTATCTGTATGAGTGTATTGCCTGCATGTATGTAAGTGCACCCCTGTCACGCAATTCCCTCAGAGGTCAGAAGAGGGCATCAGATCTCCTGGAACTGGAGTTAGGATGGTTGTTAGCCACCATGTATGTGCTGGGAACCAAACCAAGGTCCTCTGCAAGAGCAGTCAGTGCTCTTAACTGCTGAGGCATCTCTCCAACCTTTTTCCTTCTTTTATAAAGTAATGAACTAGAAATAAAAGGCAAGAATTGTTCAATTACATAAAAAAGCAAGATCCAACAATGTGTTGTCTGCAAGGATATAGTTTACATATAAGTATTCAAGTATCATAAAGTTAAAGAGTTCCAAGTGTGGTGTCACACACTTTTAAATCCCAGCACTCGGGAGGCAGAGGCATCTCTGTGAGATGGAGGCCAGCCTGGTCTGCATAGCAAGTTCCAGGCCAGCTGGGACTACAGAGAGACCCTGTCTCAAAAAACAAACAAAAGTAAACAAGGAGAAAAACATGGATCATGTTGATGCTATCACAAGAAAGTTGCTACGGCTCCGTTAATACCCGTTCACAGAAAATATGACAGGGAGAAGGAGGGCCGTGCAACAGGACAGCCACGGGCGTGCCAGGAGCTTCAGAGACTGGCAGTCAGAGCTGCAGCTCCAGTAGAGCCTGTTCAGTGGTTGCCAGGGAAACCTGGAAGGAAATCAGTATGGCTTGCTACTCATGAAAAACGGGATGGCTTGGACTTTCTCTAAAGCCTAAACCGTGGAAACGAGGATGAAGGTGCTTCGTTGGTTTGAATAAGTCAGGGAGCTGGTCTATAACAACAGTGTGCAATACGAGCAACATCCAGGGAATAAACCACCTTCTTCTGGGTTGGACTGAGCTGCAGACAACTTTTATTTGGCCCATATGCCTCTTGCTTGTCTATCACTTATGATCTTTTAAGATTATATATATATAATTTAAAGTGATCACAGTAAGGGGATGGGCTGTCTCATATAGCAGTGTGTCTAGCAGCCAAAAGTCCCCAAGGTTGATGTTAGATTTAGGAGGGAAGAAAAAGAAAGGAGTTTAAAGTTTAGAAATAAGAGTCAGAGCCAGACCTGCAATAGGCAAGGAACAGCAAAGGGCTGACAGCTCTTTTCCTCAAGGAATGATTATCTTTGCGCTCAACAGGAAGCAGTCTGGTTTTATATAGGAACTCTGCTGCACATAGCTGCAAGAGTTAACTCCATGCCAGGGTCTAGGGTCCTTGAGGGACAGGCAGGTGAGTTATCTGTATCACTAAAGAAGACAGGTGGGCTCCACAAACAGTCTCTCTCAGTCCAGGCAGTGATCAGTTGATAAGGCTTGAGCAAGGCCAGGCTGCCGATTTAGGGCCAGTTAGACACTTTAAGGGACTTATGGCTTTCCCTAATGAGGCTTGTGGCTCTTCTGCAATTTACATATTCTATCAATTGGGTTGGTTTTATGAGCGGCCCCAGACTCTTATCCTAAGGCTTTCCAAGTTGGAAAGTGGCTGTGCCAGCACCAGGTGTGTTGTCCTGATGGTAAACAACATTGAAAAATGACCAAAGCATGTGTTTCTAGAGCTAAGAAACCCTTCTTAGAACCTTCCA